AAATCAATAATTATAAAATAATTAAATTAGAACTTTTAAGTACAAGATAATTAAAATTTTTAATATACTTATTTTAAGTTTTTAAACTAAAATATTTATATATAATATTATATAGAAGTTTAGATATAGTTATTATAATATATATAAGATTAATCTCTAGATCAATTCAAATATATTATTTAATATTTATATAATTTAATTTCTAATAAATTTTTGTTCAGACTATTCAAGAATTAATTTAAATATATATTATATATATATTTAATAAGCTCTTATAAAAGATTAAGCTAGAATTTTATAATAATTAATAAGTATTTAATAAAAGTTAAAGAGTATTAAAGTTTAAGATATAATATAAATAAAGATGATTAAAAATAATTTAATAATAATAATAAATAAAATTTGTAATATTAAAATTAAAAATTAAGAAATAGTCTATAAATTAATATAATTTACAAAATTAAGAAATTAAAAAAATCAAGAATTAAAGAAATTTATATTATTATAATATTATATTCAAAATTTTTATTTCTTTATTTATTTAAAATTTTATTTCTCTGCTTTAAGTCTATTAAAAATAAAGATTGAATATTTGCTTTACAAATTAAAGAACTTGATCTTTATTATTTTGTGTTTAATTAAATGTCAATATTTATACTTTCTAACAGGATTTGATAAAGAATTTCTGCCCTATCAAAGGCAAAATTTGGATATTTTCTTAATAAAATAAAGATCTTGACCTTTTATTTTTTTATGTTTGATTAAATTTAATGTTTTACACTTTCTAACAGGATCTAGCAAGGAAAGAACTTTGCAAGAATATACAAAAGCTAAGCGTGTAAACAATTCAAAGCGTTTGACCAAACCCAACATGTGCTGTGGCAAGAATTATAACAAAAATAATACAAAAATGAGCAGTAACCAATTGTAAAAGGCATAGGGTATAATCTATATGGAATATACAGTATAAGAAATGCATTTGTGATTTTTACATATAATATTCAAAGACTGTATAAGAATATATGTGTGATTTTCAGGATAGAATACATAACTATATCTGAAATTTTACGTAATTTATATAGAACAGATAAGAGGTGCTTATAGAATATATAATAGAACGCATCTGTGATTTTTAGGATTATGTGTGCAACTGTATCTAGAATTTTATGTAATTTATATACACATTCCTACTATAAATTACTGGACTATCAAAATAAAACATAATAAAACATAGTAAAATACAAAATTTTTTCTACATATAAAAGTTTTTAATCTTATAAATAAATCTTATCAAAACAAAAGACAATGACCTGAAGTTTCACATATTGTTTTTTTCAGATTCTTTTAACGCTTTCTGAAAAAGTTGCTCTAATTGTAAAGCCTCAATAAATTTTTTTAATTAAATTTGTATTTTAATTTGGAAAAAAAATTACTGTGACTTTACATTTAGAGCAGCTTTTTCAGAAAGTGTTCAAAGAATCTGAAAAAACAATATGCGAAACTACAGGTCATTGTCTTTATTTTGATATAAAAATAAGAAAGATTTATTAATAAGATTAAAAACTTTTATATGTAGAAAATTTCGTATTTTACTATGCTTTTGCTTTATGTTTTATTTTGATAGTCCGGCGATTTACCGTAGGTCAGTGTAGAATGGTGAGATGTTTACGGAATATATAAGATATGCATCTGTGTTTTTCTGTTATTTGTGTCTGGAAATCATATGGAATCTTTAAATTCCGTGTGAGAATTCCGTACGCATTTGCACGGAAAATGCGCCCAATTGCATACGGAATTAATTCATGACACATTGCTGAGAAATTGCTTTGTGATACATTCAAATACTAAGTGAAAGTCACAACAAATTTTTCAAAATAGATTCAGACTGCTATGATGATGACAATAATTAATATAGTTATGGAATAATCAAAAACCAACTACATGTACAAATGAATATTCGATAGAGATCTCCAAAAAATTAACTTGGCTTGAATAATAATCTAAGAAACGTTCATTGAGGGAAATTTTGTGACTTTGGAAATATATTATTAATGCGTTATACAGTTGCTCCTCAAATTGCTGAATTTGGTCTTAGCATTTTCAACAAATATAAAAATCTAATCATTTATGGAGTGCTTTATGAGTCAGAGGTGCTAAATGAAAAACGACCATTTGTCATGATCATTATCGTGTACATGTATATGACATATGTAAAGGAGTACGACCTACGAATGATGGAAATGTATCATGGAAAAATGTTGGAATCCTATTCCCGAACAACTGTAATAATGATAATGCGTTAATTTTCACCCAGGTTTCCTATTAGCAGCCAATAAGAAATACGCGAATTTTTCACGATCAACCTGACAAACAAATCTGACACAAGAAAATGAAAAAAGAAAACAAATGTCGGAAAGATAATTTTGCAGTTCTAAACCTTAGCCTTAACCTAATCTTAAAATCGATCACAGTAGAATTTTCCGGTTTCCGGGTCAACAAAACCTGGGACATGTATTGAATTGAACTCCTGGATCAATTTAGATTGATTAGAAACAACGCTCAAACTCATGGCATATAAATAAAACTTTTTAAATAATTCATTTCAAACTCGTAGTTAATATTTTTTGAAATCTAGTTTTAATCGCAATTCAAATATCTTTGACATTCTAGTATAGAAAATTACAATCTTTCAACTCACGTTCTTCCTATTAAATTCTATTCCTCTTTTTAATTTCTTTTTCATAACTATATGTATTGATTTGCCATAAACATATATGATGCTTTCCATACCACATTAATTTTAGTATTTATTATATTCAAGCAAATAATGCCTATAATATTATAACATTGACTATTGCTGGAATTATGAATCATTATAAACTTTCACTCAAATGCTTTTCTTCTATCAACTTCTCATCTAGTTTATCATATTTTGCCAAAAAATGGTCATAATAAACAAGTATAATACAGAACGGAACTTACAATGAAACAAAAAAATATTAATTTACATGTATCCACTAGAACTATAAGAGATGAGATGAGTAAAGCTCATCTATATAGTCTGTATTTCAGGATTGTTCCTTTTTATTAAGAAATACATATATTTATCGGAATTTTTGTTTAGATATTATTTTATTTCTTTCGATAATGTTTTAATTTGTTTACTATTTGAATTGTCTTATATACTTGAAAAAAATTTCAACGTTTACTTACTTCAAAGAGAATATACTCAACTTGCCAAAAATAGTTTATTAATATTATCAATTTTATTATTGCCCCTATCGTCGTGAAAAATTGATTACGATATGATTAGAAATATCGAACGAGTAAAATTTAAATTGAAACCTTGCGGTTACGTAAGTTTCAATTACTGGGTACATGTATAATGCTTAAAACATAACAGAATATATGTACATGTACATGTAATTTAAATACACATAGAATTTCAGAGAGATTTACGCTATTTCCGTATTATGTAATCTATGCATGCCTTCGCTAAGACAAAAGTATCACGATGCACTTTAGCCTCATTTACATGTAATTAAAAATAGACTGTATCATGATTATTGTATTGCAAAACACAAAATGATAATACAACAGAGTTAAAGTTAAATCTCTTTGTAATAACGATAGAGAGGATAGATTGACGTTATTATAACAATAATATTGATATCGATATTATCAATAATAGAACAAATCAAATGATCGTACAGTCATTCAGATTTTACAGATTGTAAAGCAAGATCATAATTAAACAAAACTTAGAATCCCGTTTCTTTGACTAATGCATGTTTAGCCCATGCAAGATCATTTAACGTTATGTGATTATAAATTTTTTTTGCAACGCATGCAATTTAATATCGATAAAAACCTTAACGTTAACGTTATTATATTTTTTGCCATATTTGTAAAAAGGACCCTGCATAGAATAGGTTTCCACTAATACTGGTTTCTGAACCACGCTCAAACTGTACATTAACTATAATATTGAAAGACTAAAAACAACAACCTCATTTAACCTCATTTACAATGGTTATCATTAGTTAATTAATTAATTAATTGAAAAACTTTTTGAATAAGGAGTTGTTAAACTCTAATTTTTGAACGGGAGTCTTTGGCAATTTCATTTACCGTTTGTTTAAAACCGAAATTTCATATCGCTGTAGAACCTAACGATAATGAGTATCTCGAACATGCATGTTAGGATATTTTATTGATGCGGTTTTGACAGGAGGATTATCATTATATCGGAATCACGGAATAATTGACTCTTTATTGGTCCCTCAAATAATTTTGTTTGTTTATTTTTACCCGCACATTTTTTGCGGTAAAAGAATTTTCTAGTAAATTTTTTTTACGGCTATAACTCTGAAAAGAATTTTCCATCGCAGGAAGCTTTCCTTTTGAAAGCCAATAATTAGAATTTGACGCATAACATGAAAATTTTTTTTCTTATAGATTACACATTCAAGATCCGGACTGTATTTGCGTGTGTAGTTATGCATGTATAATGCGATAGTATACATGCACATGTAGTGTCGATGCTGACACATGTAACATCTTTGAAAAAGAGGGAAAATGAAATCCAATAGATTGCCATTTTCCCTTTTTTTTTTAATGCACTCGTTCCAATCTTAAAAAGAGCTGGACTCGAATAAAAAAATGTCACCTTAGAACGATAATTTAGACAAGATCCTCGGGATGTTTATATCATGTGTGATGGGTTTTATCATTATAAATTGAAACACAGTCAAGTTAACGGGGGTTAAAACAATGTAAAATGAAAAAAGCCAATTCGCGTTAGATTTTTACTTAGTCACAATATATCGATACATATTTTGTGAGTAAAAATCGATCTATGTGTCTGTCATATTAATAGTTCAATATCTCGTTTGACTACATTCTTTTAATTAACGTTACCCTTATTTATTTGAATCCCCATTTGCCAATAATTCTCCTCCCTAATTCTTTGCCAAACAAAAACGCATCCCACACTGAAAATGGCAGCGACAAAATTACCACAAGATTGTTTACGCCAGATTTTGGCGGAATGTCATGCTAATGACGATCTCCTATACAATTATTTATTTGTTAATTGGTCGTGGTGTGAATGTGTCATACCGTTACTATGGCAGTACCCATTCGAGCGAAAAGATGGTACTGTTTTTCGTGAGGAAAGAAGTTTTCAATTTATCAGAACTTTGATAACTTGTTTACCACAAGACTCCAAAGAATTACTTCAGGAAAGCGGCATTCCATTACCACCTAATGATGCGAATATCAAAACATTCGATTACCCAGCTTTTATCCAGAAATTGGAACCACAACGTATGAGATGGGCGACACAAGAATGGATCGATAGATCAATCCTAACCTCATCTTCACCAACAACGATTAACGAAAACACACAACTCGACCGAAAAAATTTCATTTTACTACAAGAGATTTTGAAATTATTAGTACGACGAGGAAAACGTCTCTCTAAATTTGTCTTGTCAGAAACATCCATTGATTATGACGATAGCGCACAAATTCCAATCCACTTGCTACCAAATGCACAAAACTTTATGGAACAAATTAGGTTTTTAGTATGTGCTTTCCCACATGAAATTCCAGATTCCACATTTTATTCACTTGCACAGTCAGCAACAAATATCGAAGGATTTGATGTTTCGGTAAAATCCGAAAGTGAAGGCTTAATTCAGCTTATACGTGCTCAACATGGCATAAAAGAACTAACACTTTCCGGTGATCGATTTAACCCTAAATTCGATGAAGTTTTAAAAGCACACACGCATACAATAACACGCGTTGAATGCTTTGAGACTTTGAGCATGTCCCCCGATACGCTGACTCAATGTCGAAATCTCAAAGTTCTAAACTTGTATTGCAAGATCCCTGAGAATACTTTTGTCACTTTAGGAGATGCGCAATTCCCTTTCCTTCAAAAACTTGATATCAAGTTACGAAATAAGTTGGATCTAGAGCGATTAAGCCGAATCATTCAGACAACGATGGGACGAATGGAAGTGTTAAAACTGCATTGGGACACATTTGATCCTGAAAATACTCATACGCTGATTAAAGCCATCGGAGATCATTGTCCACGCATTGTTGAATTAGTGATTCCAATTAAATCTGAAGACGCGTCCGGCTTAGCTTTCTTACTGTTGAAATGCCGTCATGTACGATCAATCATGTTGATTTCGAAGGCTGACTCCGTGCAAGATGGCGTACAATTGGTTAATGCAATCGCTGATAATGCTTCGGCTGCATTAAGAAATTGTATTATTTGCGGACGTTGGAATTATACACCTGAAGTCTGGCAAACATTTTGTGAGCGACAACAAAGAACCTCGCCACCAATTCGTATCTCGCTTATCGATAAAGTTAAATTAAGTCCTGAAATTACTAAAATTCTGAGTGATTACAATAGATCGGGGCGTATACGATATGATGGTTGAAATAAATATTTTTATCAATATATTATATTTATCCTTTTAATCAATACATGTAATTTCTTTTTTGTTTACAAGAATTCTATCAATTATCTATCGCTATGCCAAAAAAATGTAGATAATTTAAGAAACTAAAAAAAAAGATTATAGGAAGAATAAGATCGAAAAAAATAAATTTATCATCGATATTTTATTTTATTGTGCACGCATCAGATTTGCATTAAAATTAAGAAAAAATCCCGGAACAGGTAATCTGGTTAAGCAGGTAAAAAGGGTATTTTTTGGCGAATGGGGTTACGAACTAAGACAAAATACGCAGCTGTGTTGAAATGCAAAATTAACTCAACAATTTCACATTCTATTTTTACCTGTACGCGTTTATTCTCCCACATACGTTCTTTAAAAATTTACCATCGTCTGAATTTCACAAGATCTTTATACACTTCGAAATGAAATAATTCGTAATAACCCTTGAAGTACTGAAAAATTATCCTATCCAGCATAACCAAAAAATTTGGACCTCCAGAAACTACTCTCTGACGCGCCGTTGTGAATGAAGTTCCTCCTCGCCGCCAAGTCACCTCCCACAATTTTTACGAAACAAGTCGAAAAAACTAGATGACCAAGAAGATAAGATGTTGCATCTATAGTATCAATAATATGTGTCAGTATAAAAGTTCTTTCAAGTTCATATAGCTCAGATGAAATATATTTTATATTTGTCAAGCAAATGATCTAAATTTTGCTGTTAACTCTCTTTGTTTTAAGAATTGCCATCTGTTTTCTTTTTCTTGATTATGAAAATATGCTTTCCTATTGAATTGATCAGTTTCACATATAAGAGGTTGATTCAAGTTTTTTATGAATGTGTATTAGTGTAATAAACATCATATCCAGCATTGGTAGAATGTGCTTTTTCTGATAATTTTCCTTTATTTTAATTATTATAAACTTTGATTATATAATATCTATTATTTTATTCTACAAAGATATCTTTTAAATAGTTATTGAATTATTGTAAGAGTTTATTAAGCATTTGATAAATAATATTAAACTTTTCATATATTTCATTCAATTCAAGTTAAAAAGGTTGAGTTAAAATAGAAGTAAAATTAATTTCTTCAAATATCTCATTAATTATTATTTCTTCTTGAATTGATTCCAGTATTATAAGATATTTTTCTTTATCTACTTTAGCCAGAGATTCAGATTGTATACAATTATCATATTTATCATTATCACATGAAATTAGACATTCTTGACAGAGTTTTACATTAATATAATCCAGATAAGCAAGCTGTTATCTTTGATTAGAACTGAGTTATTAATAGATATATTAAAATATTTCAGTAGTAGAGACTTTTACAGAACTCTTATAGATGATTTCATAAACAAAGTCATCTTTATATATAAAATAAAATAGAATTATCTTGCCAATTTTATCACATTTATCATAAATTTCTAATAATATTTCTCATTCTCTAAACTTATTAATTATTCTGATATTCTTTCTTTATTTTTCATGATTAAATCAATAGATATATTGATATTCATAAGTATAGAAGTACTTCTTTTTATAACTTCCAGTAATAAATATTTCTCTAAGTTTATTATATTCATAATATTGAGAGTAAGCATTAGTTATTTTTCTCTAATATAATTATCATAAGCAGTTATCTTTTCTCTATTTATTTTAAAATATGTTCTAGTATAATATTTATTTATATATTTTTCATATTCTCAGCATTTTTTAATTTGAGAGTTAGGATAAATTTGTTATATAGCAGATTGATATAAATCAAAACTTTTCTTAACTCTTTTATTAACAAAGAATTCTTGTTTAACTTCATTAATTTGGTCTTTATTTGTTTTGAATTCAGCATAAAAGGATTTATGAATTTTAATTGTTATCCAGTTAGCAAAATTATTATAGTATTAGTAATATTAGTGATCAGATATAAAAAGATTTCTATAGTATTAACATTAGCTATTTGGTTCTTGCTAGTCAAATAATCATTAGTTATTTCAATTATATTCTTGAGTAAATTTCTTGTCAAATTATTTGAAATCTTTCTAGATATATTTTTTTATTTAATTTTAATTTCTTCTTAATAGATTTGTACTTCATAAATTCTTTTAACACTTTAGATAATTTAAAATGATATTTTTTCAAAGTCAATATCTCTCAAACTTCAGTTAGAAATTTTAACAGAAGTTTAAACTTCTTTGATAATAATTTTCACACTATTATTATTCTGAAATTCTTGTTATCTAGAAATTATAATAATCTAATTATCATATTATTATTTAAGAAAAATTTTCTTTTCAAGTATTATTTTTTAAATTTATTTTCAGAATTTTTTTCTGATTTATCTTTTTTAGAACTTGTCTTATCAAATATTAGTTTTTCTCTATCACTATAAATAAATTTAATTGATACTTTTCCTTTCTGATTATTATATTTAAATATGAATAGTCCTTTCTTAATATTAATATTAACTTTAAATTTGTTTAAAAAATCTATTTTAATAATTATTAAATATATCTTGACTTCAGTAATATCTATTTTAGTAGGAATTACAATTCTATTAATATTCAAAAGTAGATTATTAATAGTTCCAAGAGATTATTTTGATATTTCATTTATATTAAACATAAAAATATTTAAACTGTATTATATTTTTAATTCTATATCTTTAATAAAGTTATATATAGTGACACATCTAAAAATATCAGTATCAATAATTAAATCAATAATATTCTTTCTTACTTTTGCTTTATATCAGACAGATATAATTTTAAGCTTTTATTTAAATAATACTCTTCTTTTTCTTTTTAGCTTGAGTATTATAGTTCAATATATTTCTTTTGACAATTAGGTTTTTTGTGAAAATAAGATCTGAATAAGTTAAGTAATAGTTATATTTGCTTTTTGTTAAGTCAAATCTTCTAGAATATTATAGAGTTTAGTTATAATAGTAAGTATAAATAAAGCAATTTTATTTTTCTTTTTGTAAATAGTTTTCTTGATAAGTTCTTCTTTAAGTATTTTAAATAGTTTATTATTATTCATATTCTGATCAAGAATAACTTCAGTGATATCTTTTTGTTTTTCTTTTTTATTATTATTTGATTTTTTATTTTCATCAACTGCTTTTTTATAAAATTAATCTACAAATCTGGTTCTATAAGAAGTAATTCTGGAATTTCTGGATTTTCTCTCAATAGCCAAATATTTATATGTATCAAGTAGTAAATTTATATTATTTGATTTGATAATTAATGTTTAAATACTATTATAGTGAATTAATAAGTGAGGTTTCACTTAAATTCACCTTAATGATATAGAATTGGGAGAGACTGAAATAATTAAAGGATAACAAGAGGAGAATTAGACTATACTTTCAATAATAAAAAAGATTTCTAAGACCTGTATCAATATCTATAGATATTATCTTAATAAAGGGTGAATAAATAAAGAAAGAACAAAATAAATCAAAGAAATTATAAAGATTGACTAAGTAAAACTACTAGTAATCAATATAATTCAAGATTTAAATTGATTAAATAGCAAGCTATTAATTAAAGAAGGCTATAATTAAAGTAAAGATAGAAATAAAATATGTAAATTAAATAATTAAATAAATAAAAGAGTATGGTTTATTTATAGTAGAGATCTTTTACTCTCAAAAATAATAAAATAAAAAGTATGACTTATTTATAATAGAGATCTTTTACTCTCAAAATAATATCAAAAATCAAAAATCAATATAATGTTATAATCTAAAAATTCAAAATCAACTTTATATAATCAAAGAAATAAAATCAAGTAAAAGAAGAATTACTAGTATAATCAAATTATACTTTCTAAATAATTCAAACAAAACTATAAAAGGGTATTAATATAATTTATACTTTTCAAACAAATCTTTTAAAACTGTTTATTTCAAGCTAGATATAATCTTTTTATTACATATTGTAATATATTTAGATAATTCATACAGAAAAGTCAGAATATAATATTATATTAGGAAAATTCATACAGAAGATTCAAGATATAAGCAATATTATTGAAATAGAATTCACACAGAAAACTAAATTAAAAGCAGATAAGAGATTATGTTTAAAACTTATTCTTTATTCATGTATTTATTACTTGTTAAAATTACAGAACAGATATAGCATCTTTAAATAATAATAGAAAATACTTATATAGTAGTATCTTTGAAAGATGCTTATTAATGAATAAATAAAGAAATAAATGATTATAAATGAAATATATAAATTTAGTAATATGCTAACTAATTTAATAGAATAAGAAAAAAGAGGGTGTCTTCATATACAATTTGGATTGGTTTGGATTGATTTGAATTGATCGATCTTCTTCACACGAATTTTAGTTTGGATTGATGAATTTAAAATTTTGGTTTGGATTGATTGTGCAATATAAAAATCAAATCTAGCTTGCAAGTTAGATTAGCCAGAACAAATTAAATAAAACGTATTTATTCACATTAAATTTAACTTTTAATCATGTTAAATTTAACTTTTAATCATATTAAATTTAACTTAAATTTTTAAATCAAGTTAAATTTAACTTTTAATATGTGATAAATATATTAAATCATTAATAATGACTGCCAATGGTTCCAACTCTTTGCAATCTGTTCATTTATCAGCAATAAAGTAGGAAACAAGTGTCACTAAAGCACTTTTAACATTTTTAGATACTCGAAAAGAAGCTTTTGATACTTTAAAAAAAGAACGTGGAAGGGCTAATGATAATGGACCACTTTGGCAAGAATGTAGTTTACATTTAGTTTCTCAATACAACCTTAATTATACGACTCAACAATGCTTTACCAAATTCAAAAACTTGTCACAAAAATATAAGGTATATAGTTATTATTGCTATTTAAGTAAA